AAGACCTAAAACCCTAAAACCCCAAGCCCTGAACCCTAAGCCCTAAACCAAATTGCCGTGCCTGCTGTGAGCGATGCGCGTGTCTAAATAGTAGTTTCCATTTTCTTTTCCATTATCATCCCCTATCCCCATAACCTTATAATATAACCCCAATATAACCCCTATATAACCCCAATATAACCTTATAATATAACCCCTATATAACCCCAGTATAACCTTATAATATAACCCCAATATAACCCCTATATAACCCCAACACAACCTTATAATATCATCGCAATGTAACCCCTTGCCTTGCGGCAGGTCCTGGAGCAGGGCAGCCTTCGCGGCTGCCGGGACCAGAGTGCAGGCTGCATTGGCCGCATCGCCAAAGCCCAGAGCCTCGGACCGCATGAGTGTTATAGGGCTTTATAGGGTTTTAGGTTTTAAGGTTTTCGGGTTTAGGGTTTAGGGTTGAGGGTTTTAGGGTTTTAGGGTTTAGGGTTTAGGGTTGAGGGTTTTAGGGTTTTAGGGTTTAGGGTTCTAAGGCTTTAAGGTTTTAGGGTTGAGGGTTTTAGGGTTTTGGGGTTTTAGGGTTTTAAGGCTTTAAGGTTTTAGGATTGAGGGTTTTAGGGTTTTGGGGTTTTAGGGTTTTACGGTTTTAGGGTTTAAAGGTTTTAGGGATTTAGGAGTTTAGGGTTTAGGGTAGGGTTTAGGATTTTAGGGAGTACATAGGGGTTAAAGCTCTAGGATTCTAGGGGATTGGGGATAAAGGTCTAAGACTTTAGGGGATTAGGGGTAAAGGTCTCAGATTTAAGGGGATTAGTGATTAGGGGTAAAGTCCAAAAGTCCAAGATCTGAAAGGATATAGGGGTTATATAGGGGTTATATTAGAGATAGTCTCAAAATGCATCAGCGAGGATTAAGGGGGAGGGGTAAGGGATTGGGTTTTAACTGAAGGTTGTTTTGGCTTGAGGTTCATTGCCCAGCTGTGGGAGATCTGGCACACGGAGATAGAGGGGTTTAAAGTCCCCCCCAAGGGGGACTACACTGCGGCAGAGGGGTTTAGGGGTTTAGGGAAAGCTCCGGGATGAAATCAGAAAACGAAAAGCAAAGTTCAGAGAGTTTGCTGGCTAGGCAAGCACTGTGCAAAGTATGCGCGGTAGGAATACACCCGGGTGCGTTGAGGGAAATTTGGGTGTCGGAGTTGCTTAAAGCAAGGATGCAAGTGCCAAGGAGATATGCGAACACCGTGGAGGACGTGGGCCTTCAGGACAGAGCAAGCAAAGGTTGCCTGCACGAATCGCACTTTCGCATCAGGTGGGTGTTTGGGGTGCACGGGCCCCGGATCCTATGTACAATCATCTGAACCCTCGGTAAGCATAAGGATATACCAATAGTAAGGCCCGCTTGGCTGGCAATCCCCCTGCCCGACGTGGCGGGCCACGCCTCCCAAATCTTTTGAAAGCGAGGCGCCCTCTGCTGAAGAGCTGTCCGCTTTCGTCGAGCAGAACAGCTTGGGTGCTGGGCTCAAGCAGTGAACAGGGCTCAGTGGATTACCTTGCAGGTGATATGCGCCTTGGTGTGACTTGGTGTGAGGTAAGGTGAACTCCACATTTTCTTCAGGTCATAGCACACGCTTGCAGTAGTGGAGACAGCCAAAACCACTCAAACTCTTCGATCGCCTCCCTGTGCATCACTTTCTACAGTTTACAGCGAGTCTTGTTTGATCTTTGGCTACCTTGATTTGCCTTGCAGCACAGACCCTGAAATCGGCATCGCCGCAGTGTAATGTGTGCTGTTCATGCCCGAGGCGAGCGCGCGACGTCCATTCTGTACGAGGTGCGCATTCTCTGTCTGAGAGGCTTGTAAGGGATGCTGTGCTTTTAGTTTTGGAAAAGGTCGCAGTTTGTTCTTTGGATGTCATGTTCGGAGCTCATGTCGAAGACCGCAGGACTCTAGGACCATTCAAGGTCCGGTAGAGGCCGCAGCGAGTGGGGTGCTCAAGCAAGGTCCAGTTTGCGCCCAGGTTCCGCCGGCTGTGCAGAGGTCCGTGTTGGATCAGGCCGCGCATTTTTAGATCTCAAGCAGTCCATTGGTCTCGGATGCCTTGAAAGTTTTCCTTTGCTCCTGCCATGCCAGTAGAAGGATTGGAGTGTTTGGAGGCTATCAAAGGCCAATTCCACTTAGTATACAACCGTTACCAAGGTCAAGGCTGTCCAGGGTTGTCTGAGTTTCACCCAACTCACAAGAGTTCTGAATGAAACCCTAAACCCTAAATCCTCAACTCGCGAGATTTCCGAATGAAACCCTGACCCTAGACTAAGACTCTCAACTTACGAGATTTCGGAATGAAACCCCAATGTTAAACCCTCAGCTCACGAGATGTCTGAGTGAAGCCGGCAGGGCAGTCTCCGCAGCTGCCGAGATCCTAGTGCCGGTTGCATCGGCCGGATCAAAAAGGCCTCCCGTCGGAGTTGAAGCTAATTCCTAGGGTATTCCTGGGAATCATGTTTAATTGTCATTGACCATGAGCCCTATACATTCCCTATAGAGCCATAAACATTCCCAACCTATTGCAGCATACCAGAATGGACATAGTTTATACTAGGCGGGTGGGAGGGGGGGTTTAATATCAACCCTAAACTAACCCCTGAACCCCAAACCCAAATAACAACGCCTTGTATACCTCTTGAAATGTGCGGGGATTTTATTTCAGGGGGGTAGGGACTACTTGAAGGCGCAGTCAGGCCTTATGGAACCTCTTTCCTTGGCATGCCCCACCATCCTTATTGTGGGAACGCTCGGAAAGGTACCCCTAGTTTCGGGAAACTCCAATCCCTAGCTAGAAACAATCCCACTTTCCATTTCATTGTCCAGTGCCACTTCCCCTTGATTCTCCAACATTGAGGATAATAGACATACATATATGTATATATGTATATATATATACATAACCTCTAGAATTTCCCAACATGTGCCCCAATATACGAGAGTAGTTTCCGTGTTCTTTTGCATTATTGTTGTTGAAAATGATTTGGCAAATTTGTATATATCCCCATAATCCTAGACCCTAAGCCCCAAAAACTTAAACCCCTAAACCCCAAACCCCTAAACCTTCTAATTTTTGGAAGCCCCCTGTTACAGCTTTGCGCGTCAGGCACAAGAGGTTCAGAGCCCAGATGTTTCCACTTTGAGTTTCTGAAAACAGGATTCAGAATGGAGGGTTTGGGGTTTATGGGGTTATATATGTATATACAAGGGTTATGTATGGGCTATTTTGGCTTATATGGTGTTTTTTTTAAGGATTTTATACAGATAATGGGAGAGAACATGGAAACGACCATTCAGGGTTTGGAGTCTTGGGTTGGCCACTGCGTACGGGGGCCTTATGCTCTTCTGTTCTGAAGGGAGTAGATGTTGTCTGAGTCTTCGGATGTAGCAGAAAACTCGGCTCTACTCCTCCGCCAACGGTTTCCTGGAGCGTTTGATATTGACACGTGATTCTACATATGGCATACGGGCAGTGAGCTGTTCAGTTCAGAAGCTGCGCATGAAATATGGCAGCATGCAGGGATGAGACTGTTCCAGCACAAAAGCTTCAGCCAGGTCTGGGGGGTGATCAGCGAAGACTGTGACTGCCAAGGCAATGCGACATGGCGCTCCGGACACCGGTTCACGCAAGCGCAGACGCGAAGAGGCGCAGCTTTGAAAATCAGCTGCTGCATTGTCGCACTGTCAATCCTCACAAGCTCAGACCCCTGGGAGGATCCAGGAAGTATACCCTATACTATAGTATTGGATACTTTCTAGGAAGCTTTATGGGGATGGTCTGGGAGGCTGGTTCAAATCACCGACCGAGCCACGGTGGCGGGCTGAGTGCACCGGGTCGTGACAGCTGTTCTTTACTTATGCCACTACCGGGTCATGCAAGCTTCAGCATGTGCACAACTCTCCGCCGGCCTGTACAAGGATTTCTTTTTGCACACTTTGTTATTGTTCTTTCTTTTCATAAGCTGACTTTGCTACTTTTCCTTGCCTGGAGTACTCTCAGAGGGGGCCATTCGCTTCAGGATCAGGCACTTATTCCGATCGTAGGAATGGCTCTTCATTGGGCCCCTCGCTATCAGTGATTTCAGCGAGCCTTTGAACCGCTTAAACGGAAACTCTGCCCCTGGCTTATGCATATTTGTTTCTCTGTCTCCGGGGGCTGTGTTGCCCGATGCTTTTGCTAGCCTCTCCCTCGATAGGTACAGATGCACTGTGCAGTTGGGTATGAATGATGCCAACGTGGCCTAGCCTGTAGAGTCGTGCGAACCTGCTGCTGCAGAGTTTCATCGTGCATGACCAGGGTTCTTCTGTCATCATGCCTCTCATTGCTCAAGCAGTGTGTCACCTTTTTGAAGATCGCCATCTTTCAGTCATCGAACGATGGAGCAACTGAACGTTTTTGCCGTAAAGACCATATTGAATTGCATTGCGCCACGCAAGAGGCTGTCTCCTTATCTTCTGTTGCTACTGTTGACCATTCTTACACCTGCTGCGGGAGTCCTGCTGCAGCCCTAGGGGTCTTTGGCGTTCAACTTCGTCAAAAGTTCATAGGCTTGAACACCTTAAACCTAATTCCTATGGAGGGCAAGGCTGCCATCGAGAACGACCTTCGCCATCAGCGAAGCCTAGTGACTAGTGTAGACAGCTTTGGATGGAGCTGGAATTGGACTTAGAGTCCTGCGAAAAAGCAGACCTCACTT